CCCCGTATACTGGTGAGGCTAAAAGTCTCAGAGTTGGGCGAATCTTTGTCACGCCAGATGTTTTGGATTACAAGTGAAAATATGAATGATCTCCATAGATAGAGAGAGAAGTGGGTTTTTTAAAATCTATAATTAAATAAATACATTTTTAAAAATATCAATAATAATAAATATTATCTTTTTATTTCTTTATTCAGAACAATAAATAAGAATAGAAAACGCAAGCCGGCCATCTCTGGCGTTCTCATCGCAAAGATCCTTAAGGTGTTTTCTTAACTGCTAAATTGCGTGTTTTTAAAATACTGTAGCCCCTTCTTAGGGCATTTTTAGACATTTGTGGGTGTTTTTTTCACATACATTCACACACACACACACACACACACACACATATATCCATAACTTGGGAGCTGCCTTGGGTCCCTTTTCTCTGGAGGCAAAAAAAACAAATGAAAATAAACACACAAGTAAGTAAGTAAGGCGCTAGTCCTTAAGGAGCCTCAGAGAACGCGCTCTACCGGTGAGGGAAAGCTGGGATAATGGAGCCAGACTTGAACCAGCCTGTAGCAAGCATGCCCAGTGCGTAGGGTGATTTTTTAATTTTTTTTCCCTTCCCGCCTCCCACCCTCACATACCGTAGGAACACCCTTTGTGTTTGGCATTAATAAGGGAGGGATAAATGAGGAGGAGGAGGAGGAGGAGGAGGTGGAAAATAAGCCTTGGCAAACCCAGGAACGGTGAGGAGACGAGTGTTTTTAAGCAGTCTGCAGGTAGGGTTCCCATTAGCACAGGTTGATCTGCCTGCCTGAGATAACCTCCTGCCAGGTATAGTTTTACAGAATTTGAGAAGCTCTATGTGTATTACCTGCACTCTATCACCTATATGGAAAAATGGTGTAAAGAAATTCACTTGCTATTCCTAAAAATAGCTGGCTGGATAGCTCAGGGGTTTGGGGGGGGGGCTGACCGCCTCCTGGAGTCAGCAGACCCGTGTTTTTAAAAAAGCAGCTTGTGGTCACCCTCCTCCTCCGATAAAAAGAAATCCCCAGGAAAGTAACTTCGGAAGTTCCTTTGGAAGGTTAAGATGAATTTCCTTGTTTGGATATATATATATATACCTTGTATATGCTTAACGACGAGAATAAATTGATTTAAATTGATTTGAAAGCTAAGGGCCGGCTAAAGCGTTGGCGTCCAACGCTTTAGCGGCTCTTTGCTTTTAAATTTACGGTTGGACTGATGGCGGTCAGCGAATGGCATTCGAACCTCGGCGCTGTAACTGGGATTATTTCTTTTTGGACAGCGGAGACCGGCTGTGGGTCTGGCTGCGACGACTGGGAGCTGCCTCTGGATGATATCCCCCCCACACACACACACACAGCCTGGAGGAATCAAGGACGATGCCTTTTCTGCACGGCTTCCGCAGGATCATCTTTGAATACCAGCCGCTGGTGGATGAAATCTTAGGGTGTCTGGGGCTACAGGACCCCGACCGGCAGGAAACCCTGGAGAGGTAACCGGATTTCAGAACCAGGAAACAGGGACCCAGAAACGGAGGGCCTTCTTGTCATCGGCTTCTTTAGACTCTGGAACTCCCTGCCACTGGAGTCCAGGCCGGGCCCCATCTTTTTGCTCTCCTTCTACAAGCAGGCAAAAAAGACGTTTCTCTCCAGGCAGGCTTTCCCTCAATAACCTGACAGCAGGGAATTGTTGTGTCTGACTGCTTTGAATGTGTTTCTAGTATAGTTTTTGTTTACCATTCCTCAGAGTAGCCTTGGTGTGATACTTTTTCAGTATTTGTAAATTTAACTGTCTTTTGCTTTAAATATTGTCTTTTAAGGATGTAAGGCGCCTTGGATTCTTTTTAAGGAGAAAGGCGGGGTGATACGTAAACAAACAAATGAGCAGGAAAAACAGACAAATCAACAAACGGGGCTTGTGTTACAAATTGTCCCTACCAGTGCATACAATATTTAAAATGTCATATCAGGTAACCGTTGTGTCGCTTCAACTCTTTTCTCTTTCTAAAGTCCCAGCTGTGTGGCAGAAGACGACGGCCGACTTCTGGTCCTGAGCGAGCTTCTGGAGAGAGAGGCCCGTTCGCCGTTTTATGAGGAAGGCGTGAGCTACGCTTTACTCAAAGTGGCCGAGCTGGGCCTGGTGCCTGCGGCGGAAATCCTTCTGCACAATGGGGCGGACATCATCTTTGAAGGTGGGGCTCTTAGAAGCATGGCGTGGGAAGGGGCCCATAAGGCCATCCAGTCTGACCCCCTTGCTCAAGGCAGGAATCCCAATCCCAAGTAGGTCGGATGGAGGGTGGTCCAACGTTCTCTTGAAGTGTTGGAACGCTGCTCACCACCTGCTGAGGTCATGGTTCTGTGTTGTACTGCTCTAACAGTTAAGAGGTTTTTACTGATATTTAGCCGAAATCTGACTTCCTGTAACTTGAGCCCCTTATGACCTATCCTGCACTCTGAGAGGATCAAGGACAGATCCTGCCCCTCCTCTGTAGGACCACCTTTCAAGGATCTGAAAAGCCCTATCTTCTCTCCCCTCCGTCATCTTTTCTCACGGCTAAACCTTCCAATTTTTTCCCGTCTTTCCCCCTAAGGCTTGATTTCCAGTCCCCTCATCACCTTTGAGGCCTTTATCTTATATTAGCCTGTTTATCCTAGCGGTGTCGTGGTTTTCCGTTCATGGTGGCAGAATTCTTACAGGGGAATTAACACAAAATGCCATTTTCATTTTTTTTTGTGGCCTGCTTTCTGGATAGGAGAACAGATGTTTTATTTTGAAACCTGCGGCCTCTCTGGCACAGAATGACCAAAACGTCCACTCCCTTTTCCCCTCCCGTTTTCTGACATCTTTCTGTTGAGTTTTGATTTGATTGACGACCCTGGGAGGGAGGCTGTTTGCATGAAGTCCTAACACAGGATTAGTCATGTCTGACTCTAAAGCTGTTATTGGGCGCAGTTTCGATCCCCTTTCACCAGTGGCGGCACTAGTTAGGGCTAATGGGAGGTGTAGTCCTGCAGCAATGGGAAAGGTCCTGCTTTGTCCACTGCTCTCATTAATGGCATAAGGAGGCAGTTCCGCTCAGCTTAGCGAGAACTTTTTGGTCTGCCTAGATGTCATCAGCCCCCCCCCCGGTAGTTCTGTACTTCATCCCTAAGAGTCTTGGGTCCCAAGGCTCTGCAGATCTCATAGCCCTGCTGTGATGTCATGAGCCTATGACATCATGGATCATGAGCCTATGACATCATGCAGAAATGCCTCCACAGTAACATGGCCACTTCCCAAGAAAGGCTGGCTCGCCCGGTGGTGTGGAAGATGCCTAGCGTGCTGGACAGCGATGGGGAGGAAGAGGGTGGGCCCGGGCTTCCTGTCTTGCTGGCTGCCTTCCCTTCGCCCACGGGTGCATAGCGGTAAATCTCTTCTTCCTTTCTCTCTTTGGCTCTTCGAAGACCGGCCTTATGCTGCAGAGCGGTCGCTCCTCTCTTTAAAGGCCTGCTGTTGAAGGGGTGGAGAGCCAGTGTGGTGGAGCAGGTAGAATGCTGGGCTAGGACTCTGGGGATCTGAGTTCAAATCCCCACTCAGCCATTGGTGGCAGGTCTCGGGAGGTCTCTGGATCCAGAGTTTGGGAGTTCAAATTTCCCCCCCCTGGGCCTCCTGGACAGGGGCTGGACTAGATGATCCCACAGGATCCCTTCCAGCTCTGCTGTTCTATGAGAATGATGATGATGACCTTTAAATGTAAAGAATTTAAATGGATGCATTTTTTGACTTTCTGTGATGGGAATGGCCTTCTTATTTCTCCCCCCCCCCTCCAAAAAAAGATCCGGTCACCTACTACACCGCTCTACACATTGCTGTTCTCCGGAACCAGCCAGACATGGTGGAACTCTTAGTGCGGCGTGGCGCGGACATCAACCGGAGGGACCGGGTAGGTAGCTGGGGCCGCAAGGAGGACGGGTCACATTTTGGAGGGAATAAGTAACATTCAGAAGTGATCCCTGGCGGGGTTTGGATGACTTTCCCGACATGTCAGAGCAGGAGGAATAAAATAGTGCCATACAAGGGGATCCTTGTATCCACGGGGCATTGATTCCAAGACCCTCCCCCGCAGATGCTGAGAAACGTGGATAATAGCAAACGCTAGACAGAGCATTGTCTCTGACTCCCTCTAAAGATTGTGGAGAATGAATCAGACGGTAATAATCCAGATGAGGCCTCACCCATGCTGAATGGGGGGGGGGACTCGTGCCTCAAAGGGGAGTGCCGTCACTGATTTGAAATAGCGCCCCCTGAATGCCACCTGCTTGGTACTCAATTGTGTATTTGCAATATTCAGCAAAAAAACAAACAAACCCACAACCTTCTGCTATGGAAACATTTCTTCCTGTCCTCAGATCCACGAGAGCAGCCCCCTTGACCTCGCCAGCGAAGAATCGGAACGCCTGCCCTGCCTGCAGCGTCTCCTGGAACTCGGGGCCGACATCAATGCTGCCGATAAGCACGGTCAGTCTCCCTCCCCCCCCCAAAAAAAATTCCTGTCGAGAGGGTCCCAGGTGACAGCAAGGGTATCTTCTTTCAAAACGCACATATTGTGGGCACGCTCGTTCGCTCGCTCATCCTCATACAACAGATGCGAGGCGCGAAGGAGGAAGGAGCGCCTTGACATTGTTATCTGCCTGCTGGGAGTCCTCGCCTGGCGTTGACTCCCTTCTCTCTCGTCCTCAGGAAAAACCGCTTTATTGCACGCGCTGGCCAGCAGTGACGGAGTTCAGATCCACAACACGGACAACATCCGCCTCTTGCTGGAAGGAGGTGAGTCTCTTCCTCCAGGCCCGTCCTCACCCACCTCTCTGGGCCGTCTCACTCCAGGAAGGCAAGCCCTCGCGGCTGGTGCACGAGAAGGGGGCAACACGAAACTTGCTTGCTCACATCTTTTGATCAGTCGCCCTCGCGGCTGGTGCACGAGAAGGGGGCGACACGAAACTTGCTTGCTCGCATCTTTTGATCAGTCGGTCTGTGTGTGTGAGATGGAGATGCACACATGCTTCGTTCCAAAAAGAGAAAGCACTTGAATTTTGTACAAGGTCTACCTTCTGAGAGTCTCCAGAATAGACTACTGCAGTGCGCTCTACATGGGGCTGCCCTTTAGACTGGTCTAGAAACGTCAGCAGCTCCAGAGTCCATCTTACATGGACTACCGGTCCATTTCTGTATCAGGTTCAAGGTTCTAGTTTTGACCTATAAAGCCCTAAACTATTTGGGACTTCAGGACATGGCAGAAGGCCTATTTCGAAACAGTGTGCACTCTCTCATTCTTCCGCTGAAAGCAATTCCTCTTTGGCAGGGGTCGGTCGTTCCAGGACAAACTCTCTTGAGGTATCAAGACAGCTTCCCTGCTCTGGAGTGAGACAGGCTGTAACGTTAACATTCTTCCCCAAATTCTGTGCTCATTAATCGAGGAAAGGAAGCTAAACGAGGCTACAGGGGCTGAAAGTCTGAGGCCGTTTCCCGCTAGCCAGACCTGGCCTCGAAATATCTGTCCTTAAGCTAGTGAGGACCGATCACCTAAAACGAGTTTCAGAACGTCGGTCTGGCGAGCCATGTCTTTTATTTATTTATTTTGCAAAGTTTTGTTCAGGCGGATCTTCGCTTTTTCTTTTCAGGCGCCGATGTCAAGGCCACAACGAAAGACGGCGACACGGTCTTCACCTTCATCATCTTCCTGCTTGGAGAGACGGTGGGAGGGGACCCAGAGGAAGTCAAGATGATCAACCGCTTCTGTTTCCAGGTCACCCGCCTCCTAATGGCCCACGGGGCCGATCCCAGCGAATGCCCCTCTTACGAATCCCTCTCGTATCTCTGCTTGAAGAGTTTCCGCCTCCACTTCCCGCTCTTGCGCTTCCTCCTAGAGTCCGGGGCGTCTTACAACTGCTCCCTCCACGGGCCTTCCTGCTGGTCCGGGTTCGAGATTGTGTTCGAAAGACTGTGCTCCCACCTCAGCGAATCTGAAGATGACCGCTTCTCGATTGACCTCCTGCAGAAGGCCGAGAAGGCCCTCGACCTCATGGTGGCCAGCTCTCCCACCGTCCGCCTGCCCAGCAATTTTGAAATCAACCTGAACAGTTGCCGTTTCCACAGGGAGAAAATCCAGGCCCTCTTCACCTCCCTGAAACAGCTGGAACGCTCTCCTGCCCCCTTGAAGCACCTCTGCCGGGTTTACCTCCGGCAGCACCTCCGCCCCTGGCCGGTAGATGCCAAGGTCCGGGCTCTCCCCCTGCCTGACAGGCTAAAAAGATACCTCCTCGTAGATCAGAACAGTTCCATGGAGGAAGAGGCGTGACCTGGCGGAAGCGAGGGGCACGGACCAAGGAGAGGTCGTTCCACGCTGGGGTTGAGGGGCTCCCTTCCTTTAGGGGCGGCCAGCCGCTCGAGGCCTTCCTTCGTGCCAACCAGCTCACTCTACACTTGGCCAACCATGGCGAAATTCACCCATCTGTTGCGATCCGCTCATCTGTCTATGAACACACTGGCCTTGACCCCGTTAACGGGCAGAGATGTGCCTCTTGGGACTGAGAATCTGCCATCAAGACATTGGAAGGCAGAGCGGTGATGCTTGTTTGCGGAACTGTGCCTTGAACAAGAATGAATTCAGCTCTTCGTCTTCCTTGGGCTGGAGACACTCCCGCATGGTCTTGGGGAACAGCCTTTTCTCACCACCATTAAAAGTGACATGTCTGAAGCAGCTAAATATTGTCATTTCTCTATATAGTAGGACCCTCACCCCCCCAATCTGCGGGGGGTTCAGTTCCCAGCTTCCCCCCCCCTGCGGATGCTGAAAACCGCGGATTATAGAGAACACTCTTTTAATCGGGAACACTATACATTGCATGTTCTTTGGCTCCCTCTTGTGGCCAGTTCTGGTAACTCCCTGGAACAAAGTAACTTACCTGGATGACTTCCAGAGCTGCCCAAAATAAAAATTTGTAAAATGTGTGTTTGTGTATCCACTGGATCTCACAACCACTAGAAGGTGGTGGTGGTGGGGGGAGAGATCAACTCCATCCCAGCTTTTTGTGCATCAGTGGGTAACGGGTAGCTCCCACCCTCAAAATAAAGACCAGAGATTAATTTGGAAGGAGAGGAGAAAAAAATGTTGATGTGATAATGTATATGCCATAGGATCTCTTTATCTGCGGGATCAGTATTCCCTGATTGACTCATCCATGGTCTGAAAATATTTAAAGAAAAATCCTAAAAATCCAGATACTTAACCCACTAAGCTACCCAGCCAGGAAGAGGATTCTAAGCCCCTTTCAAAACAAGGAACTCCAGGAGTCCAAAATAAGAGCCAAAATGAGTGAAATCAAAATGAAAGTGCAGACACACTGCGTGGTTGAAGTATCCAGCTGTGGTGCCAGAGGTTGGGAGTTCGATTCTCCTGCTGGCCCTCCCTGACGGGCTGGACTGGATGACCTCATAGGGCCCCTTCCCGCTCTGCAGTTCTAAGACGATGATGATGTGAATCACCCAGATTAGGAGCTGAAGATGGAAGGGATCTGACAATTAGGGTTCACTCATTTAGCTGGCTGGATAGCTCAGGGGTTTTGGGACCTGGTTCCTGCCTTCCAGCCCTGTAGTGCTAAGATGATGATGATGATTTACAGGAGAATGATATGTTCCGTGGGCGGGGGAATGGGCCTGGATTCGAGGGCAGCACAGAACAGGAAGCCTGTTTTGCCCCTGAATTATAAAACAATCATCGAACAGACGGCGGCGATCCTGCAACGACAGAAATATATTTGGCAAACTTTCCTTCCGATAAAGAAAAATAAAACAAAGATACGCCAGCAGCTTCGAAGACCAGAAAAGGTTTAGCTTTTACTTTCCCCACCTGAAAACCAGTCTTTTGCCACAACCGTTGAATGAGGCTCGCTCAGATTCTGGGGCCGTCCCCCAGCCGCTGTTCCTCTTGGACCCTGCGTGGTGGACCCCGGGGGGGTGGGTGCATGGGCTTCCCCGGCAGCTCCGGGCAGAGTCCCTGGCTCAGGGGGTCCCCCTTCCAAGAGGCCGGTCTCGGTGGCCTAAAGGCGGGATCATCTCATGGCCAATGTGTAAACGTGATAGATTTCTTCGGGGAAATTTTCCTGTTTCTCTTGAGCGAGGAGGCTGAGCCCCGCCTGGCGGATAATCCGGCAGACGACGTCCAGGTCCCGGCAGACGCTGCTGTCCACGTCATCCATGATGACCCCTTCCTGGGCCATATTGTCCTTGATCACGATGATGCCGTTCGGCTGGAGACCGAGGCGGCATCGCTTCAGGAAGCTGGAGAGGTGGTCGTCCGTCAGGTGCCCTGTTGGGGAGGAGGACAAAGGTAGGGAAAACAACTGTTACCGGTGGAAGGTTTGATTTCGATCGGAGAGACCCAGGTTCGAGTCTCAACCTTCCTGGGGTGTGACGGCCGCTCGCTTGCCTTCAGAACCCGGGATGTTCGTTTTTAAAAGAAACTCGGATTGTTCATTCATTCCCAGCAGCCAGCCGCACATTCATTTTGCTGTACGTTATTAATACATGACAAGACAGAAAAATACACAGAAATACTCTCTGGTTCCCACTAGTGTCCAGGTCTAATATTGCACCTTGGAAATAGAAAATATATATACAGTAGAACTCCCGGATCCACAGGGAATGGGTTCCAAGCCCCCCATGAATACTGAAAACTGCAGATTTGTGGTAAAAGAAAAAAAAAGATCAAGAAATATGTATTTTCACTATGCATTACCAATACTGGCCACTAGACTGAGCTAGAGACCACACTATATTCCAACAAAAATATATCACCTGGTCTCTGGCTTCCTCTAGTGGCCATTTCTGGGAACTACAAGATGAAAATACTTATTTCTAGTTTTTTTTTTCCTTTAACATTTTTAATATTTTCAGACTGCGGACAAATAAAGCCGCAGACACCAATTCTGTGCATAACGGAGGTCCTACTATATGTCTAATTATATCAGCATATCAGATTTCGGGAAACACTCACCGATCACCCACTGGATCCAGATGACGTCGTAAGCGTTGGGTTCGGGGCTGAAGTCCTGCAAGCCACAGCAGAAATAGTTCTTGACCCGTCGGCCCTCCTCGCCCAGGTAGCTCCTGGCCTTGTTCAAGAAGTCCTGCGTGACGTCCACCATGTCGACGGCTTTGAAAAGGGGCAAGAGGAGGCGCTTGGTGATTCGGCCGATGCCGGCCCCACAGTCCAAGGCTCGGGAGGTTCCTGTCTTGTTTGGCCCGTCCTGAAACGGTCAAGGAGAGACAAGCTCGTTCACAACCCTTCCCTTGTCAGATCCATCTTCAGGTGACATTTATCTAAAGCTGGAAAGAAACCACGTAGCTGGGATCCCTGTCGCCCAAAACTTAGGGTGACGAGAGGACCAAGGAAAAAGCTAAGCTATGGCCACCATTCCACTTTGAGTCAATGTGATCTTGTCCTTACAGGGCTGGTCGTTTCCTGAGAGGCCCCCTGTACGGAGCAGGGAGACTACCAGGCCCGTAATGCCTTGCAGCTCTCATGGAACGTAGCCCCCATCCTCACGGGGTCCAAAAGAAGTCATTTTTCAGCTCCAAGGTGTTACAGACCTCTGAAAGGGTTGGGTTTTGGGGGGGTTTTTTTGACTGCAGCCCCAAGAAGACTCATTCGGGAAAGTTCAAAAATTAGGAAAAAATCCCATGATTAACGCTCGGGAGGGCAAGGAAATCCCCCAGAAGCCATGGCGGTCGGTCCAGGTTGGCCATAGTGAATTAACTAAATCTAGGGTCTGACTTGGGTTCGAGTAGCTTTCTACGAATGAACGAACGAACGCACGAAATATTCGTGTTACTCCTCTCCAAAACAGAACGGTATTCTCCGAAGGGTATGTCGTTGTCGTCTTGAATCCCCCACTCCGTGCGCAAACACACACCCCAACTGACCCGCAGGAATCGGAGAAGAAACTTCCGGGAGCTGTTGATGTCGATGCTCGAGATATGCCCGTAGCCCCCCAGCATCCCGTCCACTGTCGCAGGAATGTCCTTCCAGTACTTCTCTGCCTTCGAGTAGAACTCCAGCTCGTCCTCCACCACGTCGTTCGCCATGGGGGCCGTTCCGCCTGGAGAGAGGGGGACAAGGGTCACGAGGCGCCCGCCACCGCTGCCTTCCACAGGAAGAAGCCGCAACGGAAGGCGTTGAGGGCAAGATCCTGGCGTCGTTAGTCCGATATAAAAGTGAGAGAAAACCTACTATAGTTAAAAAAAAACTTGCCCGTGGGATCAGGATTGGCTGATTCACTCACCCACCGTCTGAAATATATTTAAAATATTAAAAGAAAAATCTGTTTCTAAATGTGAAGTGGTCAGAACTAGGCACTAGAGGGAGCCAGAGACCATGCTATGTATAGTTTTCGCTATTATAATAGTGTTTGCTATTATCCACGTGTTCCAGCATCCACGGGGGAGGGGGGCTTGGAACCGATCCCCTATGGATACAGCAGTCCTACCATAGATCATGTACACCAGCATAATCTTAATTTTATGAAACTGCATCAGTACCTCAAAATTTTATCTAATAATCCGAACGTATAACTTGGGAATTATTTGAAGGGGAGAGGGGGGGCTTGTAAATATTTTGAGGCATGGTCACCATCTCATTGGTTCTTCTTGTGTCTAAAAAGAAGGAGGTTGCATTGTTCTGGACCATTACAGGGGTGTAGATTTTTTTTATTCATTCATTCATAAAACCTCTCTCCTTAAAAAGACCCAAAGCAGCTTCTGTCATTGAAAAGACACCCTTTAAAAGCTAAACAACAGCATGTATGCAGACATTTAAAGTGAATTAAACAAGTCTTGCATTAAAAACAGTAAACAGAACCAATACTGTGTTTCCCCGAAAATAAGAACAGAGTCTTATATTAATTTTTGCTCCAAAAAAAAAAAAAAAGAATTAGGGCTTATTTTCAGGGGATGTTTTTTTTTTCCATGTAGAACCATCTCCATCTGTGTTTATTCAAATACAGTCCTGTCCTCCTCTTCTGGTTGCTGCACAAGGGTGGAGGGCGGGATTTCACTTAACTAGGGCTTATTTTTGGGGTAGGGCTTCTATGACGAGCCTCCTGAAAAATCCTACTAGGTCTTATTTTCGGGGAAACAGGGTACTAAAAGCACATTTAAAAGCAACAGTAATCCATTACAAAAAAACGATACGCTTTCCTGCATGAAAGCAAGCTTTAGCGTCCATGGTTTATTTTTAAGGGGCGGGGGGCTCCACGGCCGAACCAAGGGGGAACCCACCGGCCTTATATCCACCGCCCCAAATTTCGGTTAAGGTGCTGTCTTATCAGATGGACCCAGAAGGCAGGGAGGGACCCTGTCCGTTCCCCTGTGCGTCACCCCAGAGAAATGTGTGGCTACGGAGGGTGAGAGCGGAAGCTAAATATATACATCGCTCTTTCCAGGGTGTGCTTTCTCCAACCCCAAACATGGCCATGGGACGCCGAGCGGCCGGACACTCCTGGCTCCGGAGACGCTCCTTGATTCGCACCGCAAACTCTCCTGTCATCACGCTGGGAGCGAACAGCTGTCTACGGCCAGGGAGGAGAGAGAGACTAGAAGAATCATACAATAGGATTCTGTCCTATTCTGAGACAGGAAAAGCCCCTTCACTTGGGGGGGGTGCAAGGGCAAGGGGGCAGATTAAATTGCCTTCCTCTTCTCTGGGCCACAAAGCACCCCTTCCTGGATAAAAGAGAGCCGGAGAGAACCGCGTGAGAAGTCAGATCCTGTAAATTCTGCTTCTGCAGAATTCTGCAAATTCTCCTGCAGAATTCTGCAAAATCTCCTTCTGCAGAATTCTGCAAAATCTCCTTCTGCAGAATTCTGCAAAATCTCCTTCTGCAGAATTCTGCAAAATCTCCTTCTGCAGAATTCTGCAAAATCTCCTTCTGCAGAATTCTGCAAAATCTCCTTCTGCAGAATTCTGCAAAATCTCCTTCTGCAGAATTCTGCAAAATCTCCTTCTGCAGAATTCTGCAAAATCTCCTTCTGCAGAATTCTGCAAATTCTCCTTCTGCAGAATCCTGCAAATTCTTGGAGGTGGCAAGAGAGCAAGCTGAGCATCACCGACAGAAGGAGGTGACTCTGGGAAGCAAGCATCAAAGGCTGTAGTGTGTATCTGTTAGGGATGGGGTTTTCCAATGGTTCTTGGACAACGAATCCCATCATTCTCCCTTCTGGGAGCTCTCCCCCAAAGGGAGGGGGGAAACTCGTAAATGTGGCTCAACTGGGGGAAGGCCTAAGCTGAAAGGTTTCAAGGCTGAGCGTGGCCTAGCTCTGCCCAACGCTTTCTGTTCAGAAAGAAAACTCCCAGCTGGCACTGGGGCAGGAACAGGAAGCTTGGGCAGAGCTAGGCCGAGCTCAGCCTTGAGACTTGCCAGCTAGGCCTTTTCTCCCAGGCGAGCCACATTTGCGACAAGCGAGCGGGCCAAAGGAGACTAGATAGCAAAGCAAGGCCGGTCCAAAGCTTTGGCTAAGGGGAGAGAAGCAACGGGTTCAACACGGGGAAGAGAAGAGAGTCAAACATCAAGCCAAGACAGCTTCGTATTGATTATGGTATCCCGCCTCACTCCCAACCCAAAGGTGCTGATGGTTGGAAATGGATTGTAGGGTGGAAAAACCAAATTGGGTATTTCTCTGGGTCCTTTCTAGCCATTTGCAGAATGAATTCCTTGGGAAAAAACTTGGAAATCGTGTATCTGAATGCCCTGGATGGGGTTGGATGGAGAGCTTGCATGTAGAAAGCCAGCATGTCAAAACGACGTGGATCTAGTCTTCCGACATGCGGGGAATTTTCATTTTCTTTTCAAGCAGCATCTGTATCCTTCTAGAGCAACAGCTGGTTTTTTAATTTTTCCTGTTGTGATGTCCTTAATCACTTAGCTTTAACACTTTTACCAAGGGGCCGCTTTCTATTAATTTATTATTATTATTGAGCTAAATGTGGTTTTAGTTTTATCAGTTTGTGTTCGTTTACAAAGCTGATAAGCTGCCTTAAGCGCTTTTCCTGGAAAGGCAGGGTATCGCTGTAACAAATAAATGGAGCAAAATAAATAGATAAAATAAACAAACAGCACAAGGAACAAATAAATAAACAAACCGCACAAGGAACAAAGACACTGGAGCCCTAAACATTGTTCTTACTGTCTGAAATGCCCTCTTTGCTTAAATATATATAGCCTAGGACGATTCAGGGGCTGGCTGAGTGGCCCCCAAACCTATCGGCAAGCTGGCCAAGGATGGATGGCCAAACAAGGAGGGTACTGAGGACTAGAAACTTGTTTGGGCAGCGTGACAGGGAACCGGGTTATGACCTGGTACCGAGGGAGTTTCATCCTCCCGAAACTGCAGGGCAAGCCTTTCCACAAACAAAGCAGGTTGAGAGACATCACCTGCACACCAACACGATCCAAAGAGCCACTGGGCTTGAGTTCGAATCCAGACGCAGCCAGGAAGTCGAGGTGGCTCTTGGGGACCTCAGGCGCCCTCCGGGCTGCTATTGGCAGAACCCATCTCTCTCTCTCTCTCTCTTTCTCTTGGCCTTTCTGTCTCAACCACAACGCAAGGCAAAAGCAACACAATGCAGAACATTTTTTTCAAAAAGCGAATTATGAGCTATTCCGGTTTGAAAGGCCACAAACCCCCTTCCAGGGCTTAAGACCCCTAAATGCCATTTTCAACTGGAAAGGGGCTTCTTCTCCCCCCCCCCGCTTTCTGCGATTTTGGGGGGGGGAGAGAAAGGGGGCGTTTTGGTCGCCACTCTTCCCTCCCCCTGGGACCCCCTTGCCAAGGTGGCGCGAATTATGAGCTATTCCGGTTTGAAAGGTCAGAACCCCCCCTTCCAGGGCTTAAGACCCCCAAATGCCATTTTCAACTGGAAAAGGGCTTCTTCTCCCCCCCCCCCCCCGCTTTCTGCGATTTTTTGGGGGGGAGAGAAAGGGGGCGTTTTGGTCGCCACTCTTCCCTCCCCCTGGGACCCCCTTGCCAAGGTGGCCACCCGAGGCTCGCCTCCCCACGTGGCCGGAGCCCCTATGGTCCGGTTCTGCATCCAACACACAGACACACACACACACCCATACACACACACCCGGACGAGTGCCGCACTCCGACCCCTAAGGCACCGGGACTGGGAAGAGGTGGGGGGGGGTCTCCAAGCTTTCTCCCAACACCCTTGTTGGCAAGCTCCTAGGGGCACCTGCGGAAGGCCAGAAGGGAGAGGCGTGGAGGCCCCCGGGCTGCTCAGCTCCAGGCCCTCTGCACGTGCTCAGGAACACCGCCTCCCCCTCCCGGAGGCTAACCCCCCTCCCTTGAAATGGGATCCCAGGCGAGGGGGGGAGGTTTCCCCTCTCCAAAGCCTGCCTTCCGCTGCGCCCGGCGCTGCGCTCTTCACTCCCCTCGCCCTCCTCCTTCCCTCTCTTCTCCTTCCCTCCCTCCTTCCCTCCTGCCACCGCAATCCGGAGTGACTCCGGTTCCACTCACCCTCCAGAGCCACGCGGGGAGGTGGTTGGGCGGGGGGGGGCAGAGAGAGACCGAGGCACCGCCGCGCCTCCCTCCGAGCCGGGAAGCCACCGCCTCCGCCGCGCGTCGTTGGCCCGGAGAGTCTCCACCTCCTGGGCGCGCCTTCCCTGCCCTTTAAAGCGCCGGCCGGGAGGGAGGAACTGCCTTCCTTGGAGGGCTGGAAAGGGCTGGACTACAACTCCCAGTATCCCCAGCCAGCCCGTGGCCGGCGGGGGCTGGAGGATACTGGGACCCCTGAGGCTCCGAAAGGGAGCAATCGCGCGCTCCCCGGCTCTGCAGCCACCGCCTGGTTTTGTTTCCTGTTTAATGTGCCTTGTTGTTTGTTGAATACACTGTGTTCACACTGTTACAAGTTGTGCGCCCCGCCTCTTTGGAAGTTCAACAAACACACACAAAAAACAAACAAACACGATTCCTCCCAGCGCTTGCTTGGCAATGTCCCTGGAGCGGGAGAATCCTGCTGGATGGGTTGGACTGGATGGCCTTAAGAGGCCCCTTTCCAACTTCACTATTCTAGGATTCCATGAAGAGTTGTGAGTAAAACGGTGGGCTCCTAAAGGTTCAGCTCTGCCCTTCCGTGTGGTGGGGAGCATCTGAACTCTGCCGTCCCCCCCCCCTTTGCAGTCTGGACGTGGCATATAACCAGTACCACCGTGCCAGGTTTTGACCCTCCGGTTTCCTCAGTGTACAAACTGGACCTAAGAATTGCATTCGGAGAATCATAGAATAACGAAGGGGCCTCTGAGGTCATCCAGTCCAACCCCCTGCTCAAGGCAGGGATCCCAATCCAAGCAGATCGGACCGAGGGTGGTCCACTTTTCTCTGGAAGGCCTCCAGGGCTGGCTGGCTTACCACCTCCCATGACATTTTGGTTCAATCGTCGTACTGCTCTAACAGCTGAGAAGTTTTTCCTGGTATTCAGCCGAAATCTGGCTTCCTGTCCCTTGGGCCCACCACGACGGGTCCTGCACTCTGGGAGGACGGAGGACAGATCCTGCCCCCTCCTCTGCAGAAATATCTTTCGAGGATTTGAAGAGTGCTCTCCTGTCTCCCGCCCGTCGTCTTTTCTCAAGGCGGCGTCCTGGTGGAATCAGGTCTCCGGAGACCTGGGCTCGAAGCCCCTAGGACGAAAGGTCGTTTTGAGCTGCTCTTCGAACATCTCACCTACCTCAAAAACTCTTGTTAGGGCCTCTTCAGGTCAGAGGCACGCAGGAGCCTCACAGCGGCATTTGGAGATGGTAGAGGCGAAAAAAGGTGGGAAGATCCGAATGCCTTAACTTGGTACTGAACATTGACGTTGCTGGGAAGTTACCGTGGAAACGGGATTCTGTTGACCTGATTGGTCTTTGGGCTGGGCCCTGAGGATGGTGGCCAATGGTGGTCAATGGCCAGGGATGATGGGGGTGGTAATCTAGAACATCTAGAGGTCCAAGACCTTGACAAAACTCTGTAAGACTACATATACGACCATAGAGTTAGAAAAGGCCATCAACCGTAAGGATGTGTCACTAGAGACCAAGGCCTCAATCATCCACACTCTTATATGTCCGATCATCATGCGTTGGTGTGAAAGCGGGACTGTTAAGAAAGCTGACAGGAAAGACTTTGATTTGTTTGAAAGGTGGTGTTGGAGGAGAGATTTCCGGATACTGTACTGTGGACTGCCAGTGGGTCCTGAATCAAATCAAGCCTGAACTTTCTCTAGAGGCAAAAAAAAAATGATGAAATGGAGACTGTCCTATTTTGTGCCCATCACGAGAAGGCAGGATTCTCCAGAAAAAACAACACTGCAGGAAAAACTCGAATCATGAGAAGGCAGGATTCTCCGGGAAAAAAACAACACTGCAGGCAAAACTCAAAGGCAGCAGGAAAAGAGCAGTGAGTCGGTCGCCCACCCTGAAACTTGAAGGTAAGTCTCCCTGCATGGACTACAACCCTATTAAAGTTTTGCACTGGGATGGATTAAGGTTAGGAGATGCAGAGTGGCAGTTCCTGTTTTCAGCCCAGTAGGTCACTTGGGGCTGGTAATTCAGACCATGAACTTGATGGCATCCATGGTTTCCCTTTGGCCCCTTTGATCCCCATGGGTTGTGAGGATCAAGGAGGCCAGAGAGAAACCATGTACACCATCAGGTTCATTGTAGGGAATGAAATGTAACCAATCCATGAAACAACAGAAGAATAGGGAGGCCCAACGGGGGAATCGAACTCCCAACGTCCGGCTCTGCAGCCAAATGCTTAAGCCACGCTGCTATCCAGCCATTTACTATAATCCACGTTTTTCAACATCCACAAGGAGGCTTGGAAAATTCCCCGTGGACACCATGGTCTTACAGTCCAGTTTCTCTGTGTGTGTTATGTGCTATATCATCGAAATGGAGTCATTGCATTTCAGGAGTGGATTTGCTAATTCTAACACACACCCCGTGAGTTTCCACGACCAGTGCCCTACTCCATCTCTCTGTCCACTACACCATGCTGGCCATCACTGTCTTTCTACACATCTTTCAAGGGAAACTTTAAAAGAGAACACAATCGGTGGGATTTCTCCCTCGCCCTATGTGTCTCCTCTCCCTTCCTTCTCAAACCCGATTGCTGGCCGTCTCCTGCAGTACCCGGCCGCGGGCACAGGGGGGCAGTGTTGGACCTCCTTTTGGCTCGCCTGGGCCTCCCTGGCGCTGGGGGCCTCCCAGCATTCATCCCAGGCAGCTTTGCTGAGGCCAACTTTCTTCCTTTGTTTGTCTGTGAATTGGAAAGTTTTCCCTCTCTCTCTCTCCTTCCCTCCCTCCCTCCTGCCTCCCACTCTCCTTTGCTCTCTCTCCCCTGCTCCAGAGAGCATCCTAGGCCAAGCAACAGGGCGAGCGCCAGCCGCTTGCCACTCACGGCCTGCCTGTTTTTTTTGGTTATTTTACCCCACCGACTCTTTGTATGCAAAGCGGAGATTTAGAGAGGAGCAAGAAAGAGAGAGAAGGAGAGGTGGTTAAAACAATAATTTTTTTAAATAAAAAGCTCTGCCTTGCTGGCTCACACGGGCACACACTAACGTTGCCGGCTGGGAGGTCGGGAATAGATTTCAAACTCAGAGCAGGAGGAAGAGAGGAGGAGGAGGAACAAGGCATGGATTGGAGCAGGGTTCCTGGACCCATCACTTGGGCTGGGGACGATGGGTGATGGGGCCCGAGGTATCCAGAAGGTATTGTCCCCTTTGATGCCTGGCCCCTTCCCGGCCTTTGGTGCCTTCCTCCGTCTTTCAGACTCCTGCATTTTAAATCATCCGCAGAACTGCAGGGCTGGAAAGGGACCCCAGAGATCATCCAGTCCAACCCCTTTCAAGGGAGAGACCCATCACTTGGGCTGGGGACGATGGGTGATGGGGCCCGAGGTATCCAGAAGGTATTGTCCCCTTTGATGCCTGGCCCCTTCCCGGCCTTTGGTGCCTTCCTCCGTCTTTCAGACTCCTGCATTTTAAATCATCCGCAGAACTGCAGGGCTGGAAAGGGACCCCAGAGATCATCCAGTCCAACCCCTTTCAAGGGAGACCCAGGGGAGGGCAATTCGTGGCCATCTCTCTTGATAATGGAAACCATGTTTCACATTCGTCCGTCCCAGCCTCTGGCTCCACAGCCAGGGAACTAAAACCCAGAGCTCTCCAGGATTTCACTCTGCCACGTTCTCCAGCTTGGCGCTCTCCGGTTATCGAGCAGCGACGGTGGGAACGGGAGGCCAAGGAATTTAGACGACACCCATTCGGAGGAACTCTGAGCAGTGGCTTCGTTTTGTTCGTTTATTTGAACCCTGCCTCCCTGTTTCTTGGAGAGTGAACCCCCAAAAGACCCACCACCCTTTAAAGTGAGTGAGGGGGCCACCGCCTCTGCGTGGGCGCCGCCAGAGGAGGTGGGACTGGGAAGCGCCGGACACCAGTTTGGCCGGGAAACGAACCGGTGCGAACCACCGAACGGGCAATTCGTGGCCATCTCTCTTGATAATGGAAACCATGTTTCACATTTGCCCGTGCTCCTTGCAGAATAAATTGTCCGTGTAGTTGCAGCCTTAGAGAGGAAAGAAAACACGTTGTTGTAATCGTTGTTAACGGCACTCGTGATGATCTTCAGTTAAGATCTTGGACAATGGATTAAAAATGTTGGCACAGTGTCCCTACAGCTCATTCCCTCCCTTCCTTCCTTCCTTCCTTCCTTCCTTCCTTCCTTCCTTCCTTCCTTCCTTCCTTCCTAACTTCCTAACTTCCTAACTTCCTAACTTCCTAACTTCCAAGCTTCTAGTCCTCATAAATCCAGGCTAGCACGTTTTAGAAATATATGCCAAAATAATGACTGGAAACTCCTGACCAATCAATGGAGTCTTAAAATCATCATCATCATCATCATAATGCCCCGTGGCGCACCCTGGCCACCTCTCCCACCCCACTCCAGCTCTCTCTCTGTGGGGTGGCTGTGTCCCCTTGCCCACCATACTTTGTTTCAACCAAATGGCTGGTCTTGTCTGGCAAGAGACGGCAAGCTTGACAGAACGTGAACCGGCATTTCATCAGTCAGACCGCTGCGCGCGATGCTGCATGCAAAACACCCTAATTTGCATTTGCATTATAAAGAATCCCAGTACAGGGGAAATGCCGACTGGGAGGGTAAGGAGACACCGGGCCGTGGAAGTGGGGAAGACACAGCAAGGAAATCATCCTTTTTGGAGGGCGGACATGGGCCACTTTGTTGAGATGCAGCTGTTAAATGGGAGTGTATCTCCTAAGGAAGGAAATAAACCATAGAACGCTAGAATGATGGCATCGGAAGGGGCCCGTGAGGCCATCTAGTCCAACCCCCTGCTCAAGGCCTGAATCCTGATCAAAGCAGATCGGACCAGAGGGTAGTCCCATTTTCTCTTGAAGGCCTCCAGCGTTGGAGCCCTCCCCGGCTCGCAAGGTCACGGATTCTGTTGTCGTACTGCTCTAACAGTTAAGAAGTGTGTTGTTTTTCCCCGACGAAGGCGTGCAGGAGATTTGTGACACTACCGTGATGACAGCTGTTCATGGATATACGTTCCCGTTGATCCATCGACCCATCCAAATGGAGAACGCGGTTCCAGGAGGGAGAAAGAAAACCGCACACCCACAACCCCACAACTCCACTACCACCAGATCAAGCAACCGGCAAAATCTTCTCTATCTCCATGGAGATTCCAAAGAATTTATTTCCAGGGCCTAACCCTAACCCAGGCAGCTTTAGGGTACACCAGGATCCATCAAAGTATCCAGTAGAGATGGGTCTTTTGACATTTAACGCCAGGGCAAGAACAGGAAGCGTGAGTGGCGCTAGGCCGAGCTAGGCCTTAAAACCTTCCATGTAAGGCCTTTCTTCCAGGCGAGCCACAGTTTAGTGTTTGTAGGGTGTCCGTCCTTCAGGAAGAACTCCGAGAATGGATTATGGGATTAATTCTCCATTCTCGGAGTTCCTCCTGAGGGACAGACACCCAACAGACACCAAACTGTGGCTCGCCTGGGAGAAAGGCCTTACGTGGAAAATTTTAAGGCCTAGCTCGGCCTAGCGCCACTCACACTTCCTGTTCCTTCCCTGGCGTTAGATGGGAGCATTCTTTTCGGAACAGGAAGCTTGGGCGTTTGTAGTTCCAAATATCCAAACAGCGCCTTTCCCTAATAGCTTTTTCACACCTAACCAAGCCTCGTTGTGAGAAAAATCACACCTTACCCTTGAGGATTTTTACGTTTGCAATGCTCACAGGATGATTTGCAGAAACAAAGAGTGTGGAGAACAAAGCTTGGCTAAATGGGGGAAAAAAATACACACACACTCGGGTGGAAGGAAAAGTTGCAGAAACTAGGGGGAAAACGAGCAAATAAATTTACTTCTTGGGGAAATGCATTCAAAGGCACCCAGGTTTTAGTGCAGGGAGGACAAACAGAATTATGTTTTAATTAATTATGTACCTAAAGCCTAAAGCGCTATGGAGTGGTATAGAAGCCGCACGCTGTGCTTCCTAGGAACTTCAGCGGAAGTGGCATAGCGCTAAATTCCACTCCCCCTTGAGAACAGAGTGAGACTAAAAATAAACCATGCTCAAAGGAGGAGTGAAAAGGCAGGGAAAAATAATCAAAACATCACGGCATTGGGTGAGACAAGACGTGCATCGTATGAATGGTGGTGGTGGGGAAGTAATACTTTTGTAAGAACTAAATGCTCCATCTGAATTAACCTTACCTTTGGTGGTCATGAAGTCCTTGAAGTACAGTTTCCTCTTATCGTTCTCCTACTGTTCAACTC